AAGTTCTGAAGCGGAGACATGTTGCGATAATGGAGTTGGTAGTTTAGCTTTTGATTCATCCTAGGCTGTCCGATTCTTCTGTAAGGTTAGTAAGTAAATGTTTAAATGCAGGATTGGTTTTTTGTACCTTGTAAGCAGAGTGTTATTGCTACTTTTTCCTGAAGTTACAACAATCTGACTTCTTCCACCACTGGCAAACCTATACAGCCGTATAAGGTCAGCCCTCGTTTCACTGAAGAAATCCTGGGCACATTTGTTCAGTCAAAGGTTACTTTTAGCTTCTCAACTGCGAAAGTGAAACATTTGTAAAACCCCCTGTTTTGCTTAAATAAATGTCAAATGGCTGCCAGTCTTGAACTGGCCTTCTTACCCTGCGCCTCTCAGGGAGGGCTTTTGGCGCTATCTTATCACTTCAGTTGCAGCACTGTCATGTTCCTTCCATTCCTGCCTCCTGCTCTGGTGTTGCCAGAGGGGTCGATCATCACTTCTTCCGACCCCGTAGTCCATGCCACGACGACCTCTGGTAAATTTTGCCCATTTTTGTGCTGTTTTAGTGTGTGCAAGTTCTTGCCTTCCTTCATGTTCTGCCGCCAGGAGTAACCATCGCTACTTCAGGGTTGTGTTGTTTTTTTATCAACCGTGCGTTTTGCGTTGAGAGAGAGCCCGGAGGGATCCTTTCACTTTCGTCTGAAAATTCCATTAAGTTGCATAGACATGTAAAAAGTGAAAGGCTAATTTATTCTGTTTAGCTTGGTTGGGCGTGTTGTTTTGGGTTGGAGAACCACAGGAACTTGACTTGTGAACCCATCGTTTCCTTATACGTATTATGCTTTTACTGCCTGCACACAAACACACCACAACAACATCCAGCCCTGCCACAAAAAGCCTCATAGAAGTATTTGATTCATGATTGTCTTAATGGGTGGAATGATGCAATTTATAATAACAGTATTCCATTAAAACTAAAGTAACCCGCCTGTTTTTTAGATTTAATAGGTACAAAGTACAGATATTTGTGTAGAAAGTACAAGTAAAAAGTTGTATTTGTCATTTACACACTTTGCACACATTCGAGTTTGTCCAGTAGTCGGCATCATAATGTTTGTGCAGCATTTTATATAAACAAAGTAACCTAAAACAATCAATGTGCATGTCCTTAGTCAACTTCAGTATCAGCTAGAAATCACCTGATACCTCAGCAGTGTTTGGCATCAGGCCACAGCAGAGTTTGTTTACCAGCTGTTCCACTTCCTGGTTGCCTGCTGTGAAACTGTTTAATAATAGCAAAGTGACAAATCAAAATGTATTAACGTTATCACACCAGTGATTAATATGGACATATGAAAACATTACAAAATTGTTTTTAGGTTTTTTTAGGTTTTTTTTTATCTACAGCTTCAAAACTATGCATTAACAATCATAGTACAACAAGGGGCTTTTGCCCACAAATAAGGCCATAGTAGCAATGCTGTCAGCTGCATTAATGTCTTTATAAATAAATCGAATGTGATATAATGTTACAGAAGGGGTAAATCCAGTCTTACAATCCTGCATTCACGTGACTTCTTATAACAGTCAAGTGGAAACTGAAAGTTAAAACATACTTGGTGGAGTCAGTCAGTGAGGGTGACTCATCGGGTGGCCTCAGTGTTTGCTGCTTGTGTTATGAGTGCAGACAGAGAAGAAATCTGTCGACGGAGAGCAGAGCAGCTGAAACAAGATGACTACTCAGGGTCAGGAAGAGAAGAGATACGACCCGAAAGACACAACTCTGAAGTTTGTCAACAGGCCGGATGATCTGGATCCACTACGTAAGCATTCAAAATGGTAGAAACGCAATTATATTGTTACACTGTGCAGGATCTCCTTAATTCATGTTTGGTCTTTATACCTGTACCACGTTTAATGGCTTTATTATCACCCTACGTGCAATGGTTTGACCAAATTAAGCAAATTAAAGGAAAAGAATGCTCAGTTCTCCCCCCTGCAGGATGTGCAGTTTATGTGACTGTGATAGTGAGTTCAATATCTGCTCTTGTTGTTGTTCTCCTCAGCCCCAGAGGAAGGAGACCTGTGTCTCAGAGCAGAGATGTCCTGCGGTCATGCTGTCACCCCAGAGTCTCTCACTGGGTGGTGTCGCAGCTTGCTGGATCAGGTACTTTCCACCATTTCATTTATAGTACACAGAAGTGTGTGTTCTCTCTATGGTAAAGGAGTTAACTTCCAATCTAACAACTACTTTCCTGTTGTTTCGGCCACTGAATTATACCACCAATAAAAAGCCCCTTTTCCTGTCTGAGGGGCATTTTGTCAACTTATTAAACTACCATATTTTACATTTTGATCTCTTCTTCCCTCTAGATTAAAAATGACACACTGGCTTTTTGTAAAACAGGACATTTAATGTTATCCTGGTTTTATTATTCTGTGTTAAACCTTTATTAAAGCGTCAGTATTTTGTGAAAGTGAAAGGGCTCGCTCATTGTGATGAAACCACAATAAAAGAATATTCACTTGAATCTGCAGCTACCCTCAGCTTTATTGAAATTTATAGCAAGTTTCAGCTTTTTCATAGCTGCATGTTCGACTGTCGAATCATGTTGTTGTTGTTTTCATTTCAGGGGCATCACAAATTTAAGTGCCCTGCTTTAAAGAACGGCACTACTGAAAAGTGTAATGCAGTCTGGTCGTATCAAGAGGTGCGCAGGCTGGCAGTGCTGACAGCTGAAGAGATGCAGTACTTTGAAGAGAACATCGCCCGTCTGGCTGCTACAGAATACTGTGAAGTTAAAACTGTGAGTGTCCCAGTGTTGTTTCTGCCTTAAACAAAATACAGACTGGTTTAATTGGCAGTTGAGCACAGATTGTTTGTTGCTACAACATCCAGTTAGCTTAACTTAGCTTAACACTTAATGGCTGGAAATAAGTAGCCTGACTCCCAAAATGCCGATATCTGCCTATCAGCTTTAAACCACTTGGCACAGAAGTGGTCTGACACGTAAAGCAGCCTTTGTACTCGACAGTTTTTTAACAGATCCAACTTAACGAGATACAGTATGTTAATTAGACAATACAGCTTGTAAGTGTATTTCCCGAGATGTTGAACTATTGCTTTAATGTTTCTCACATTGTTTCAAACAGTGTCCTGGATGCAAAACCTACGTAGAGAGAGAGGACCTGACTAACCTCAATGTCCGGTGCACAATCTGCACAGCAGACAAGAATAAAGTGCACGAGTTCTGCTGGCAATGTCTGAAGCCGTGGAAAGGTGCAGCTCCACGCTCTGACCGCTGCGACAATGACGGCTGCATCAACCACGACCTCGAGCTTCTGAAGAACTGCAAGACCACCACCCTCCCTGAGGTGCAGGGGGACATCGTATGTCCCTCCATCCGGGCGTGTCCCACCTGTGGTCAGAAGGTGGAGCACGACAGAACGGCCTGTAAGAACATCATCTGTCCTCGCTGTCAGATTGAGTTCTGCTTTATGTGTCTGAAACTCACTCCTGATTGTCTGAAGACGAGCTCTTACTTCATTCCCTGCAGTGATGGTGTGGCCCCCAGACAAACCTCCATACCTGTTTGGCACAGAGAATAGGAAGGGATTTATAATTAATTAAGTCCCACCACTTTCTCCTTTTGTTTAATGGATGCAACTATCTTTCTAACAATTTATGTAGATTAGCTAGCATTTTGCTTACATTAGTTAACTTAGAATGTGACTATATATACTGTATGTCGCTTTCATCTTTAAACTATCTTTAAAATGCGGTTGTCTTTTCAACATTAGACAAGCCTTGCAAATAGCATATCTGAGTAAAGGAGAAAGTTAGTCGCCATGTTGGTTTTTTACAATGAACAAAAAGGGGGGAGCTTACAGCCTAATTCTGTCACATTATATTGTACTTTTCCTGTTGGATTTCATTCATTCAAGATTCTTCTTGTAACTGAAGCGAAAAGCATCAGCTTATAGGTTTATTTGCTCATTTATGTTGTGAACATTGCTGCTGTACTTTCTGATATTGTTATATGTTTTGAATATTTCCACAAAGGCTGCTTCCTTTGAACTAACTACTGTTCAATAATAGTTTCATTAATAGCTGCATCACCTAATAAAGTTAATCTTTACATGAATTCCTGTTTGTTGAGTTAGTAACACACAGTAGCACATGCAATATGAAATTCAAAATATCAAATACATATTTTATATATAGTCATGTAGTGTAGCCTCGCAGGTATAGAAGTGTGTTCATGTGTAACACTTTTAATGCAGAACAAAAGTTAATCGATTTTACAGAGGCACAGGAAG